CCACAAAGATACTGAGAAGTAAAGGGGCTTCATTTTTGCCAAAGTTGTTTTTTTTAATTTTCACCCTACATAGATGCTGAGTGACCTGTACTCATGTCGCAAAAAATAAAAACACTTTTTAGGTAAATTCTCGAATGAAAAAACGTATTCTCCCAACTGAGGACGAGAATGTTGGTATCAGCATTGTTTTTACGTTGGAGCCTTTACCGGGCAATTGATAAGTTTTGCACGTGCTGCTTTACACTTTGTCTGGAAGTCGTACTTTTACACACGAGGTATTTACCCCACGTGGATGCAAGACACAGCTTAAAGCCCCTATACCGTACTGCTGGACACAGTAGTTCACAAATATCACTTGACATACTGCAATGACGACACTAAGCACACGATATAAGTGAACTGCCAGTTAGATCTCCCTGGAAGGTATAGGAATAAACACGTATGCCAACTAAAGCCCCTCGTCTCTTCTCACAAACTCAACTGTGTCACGCACAGTTGCAATCAACAAAAAAAATAAGAAAAGAGTACATCGCGTAGGCAACATTCCTATCTAGCCATTTAAATATTCGGCATTAATCTGAGTCCGAATAATGAATTAACCTGGGCAGGTAGATTCACTGACATGCTTTCTTGCCCACAGAGCAGATACCAGAGGAGGTAAAGTCAATGAAAAATGTAATGGAATATGAGCGTAAATTCCTAACTGCGTTTGTAATTGGCAAGGATTACTTACATTCAGTTTAACTTCTAATTATACTGCGGTAAAATCTCACGATTTCATAAACATAGTAGGATCCTGGCTTTTGTATAAACATTTATCGGTCAAAAAATACCTTCGTAAATAATATGCTTTCTAGAAGTCAATTTTTGACAACGAACTTTATCGATTATTCGTCATCAGGCAATAAAAATACTGTGACAAAGGTAGATTGAGGCATGTTTAAACAACCAATCAACAATGAATAAGAGAAAGGAGCTGCGAGGACGCAGAGAGATGAACGAACTGTCAGAGCCATAGCCTCGGCTCTCTGACTCCTTCGAAGGACTAGAGTCTGACTCCATAATCCCTGAACCTTTTTTTCCCCGCAACTGTTAAAAACATCTTTGAGGTTGTTTTTGTTTTTGCGTTGAATTGTCTTGAGACGCAAAATATAGTCTACTAGAAAAGAGTAAACTTCAGATAAATATACTAAAGGAAAAAATTGGCCAGCGCGTGGGTCAAATTCAACGCTTCTTGACATTCAATGAAGTTCTGGTGCAAGTACGCCCTGCGGACCGAGTTTTCTTGGTTGTCTGTGTTGTACTTGAATAGGGCATTACGGAAAACCAGAAATGTTTCAATAATTCCTTTTATGATAGCGGAAAATTTCAGAATGTCTTTTCCTGCAACGAGAATCCGTAGTGATCCCACTCCGCGTGAACGCTCAAACCCACGTAACTGGTAGCATGCACTAGTGCCTACCTACCCCGATCCAGTCTGGCCAATCATCTCCCTGCGGATGCCATACATAGATGCTGTGATTATTTCCACGTTCTCTATTTTCGGAAGCGGCCTCTGATCAGGTGGTCGTGCAATTTGTCGACCGTCAACTGCCTCTAACTTATGTTCCACTACAGAATATTCTATTGCCTCGACTTGGCATCTATTTCTACGCAGAACACTGCCTGAGGATCGCAGCGAAAAGGGTTTTCTTTATTAATTTAAGCCACCCACGGTACGTTCAACTAACCTGAACGGCTTACAAAGAAAAAATTATCAAATGCAAAAAGAAATCGCGGAGAGGAATCTTTAGCCAACCTGTCCCCTACCAGACCTCTAAATAGGCGTTTTCTTTGACTTGCTGAAATCTAAGCGAGTATCGGTCTAACCGTGGAACAAAGTTAAAGAGCCCCTGCCTTGTCAGCAGTCAAATGAGGCAGCATTTCAGAGTATAAAACAAAGCTTTCTGTAAAACTTACGTGTTTCTTGGAGGTGATGTGAGTAATATAATCCTTCTCCTCTTGAAAGTTACATTCGCATATAGAGCACATCCACTTGTGCTGATCTCTTTCGGCTCGTTGGCGGCCTTCGGGTTGCGTTGCAGGTGGCACAGAATCACGAGATGCAAAGGACTGTTTGGAGCTGCTCGACTCAAGTTGCGACTTAAAAGAAGAAAAAAGAAGAGTTAACATCATTTACCTATGTGACCCATAAGGGAACTGCCAAGGACGATAATTTCGGTGTCAGCATTCTTTTTATTTTGCAGCCTTCAGTGGGCAATCGATAAGTTTTGCACGTGTATTTCACACGTTACCTGGAGGTCTGTGTTAGGAGCCCAGGCTAACCGAATTCCAACAGTGGTTTGCAGGTTTTCATGACGCGTCTTCCCTTCGCTCGACTGCTTCGCTGAGACCGCACACACACGCACGCGAGCCCATGCGCGTACCCAAGTGGTCGCAATTCCTCAAGGACCACTAAGGTACGTCATACAGCAGGTGATCTTATTCCAACGCGCCCAATGGTGTCACAAGCGAACGCGCTTGACAATCACTGTACATAACTGTCACATCTCAGACAGTAGGTGACAAGGACATCGGCAGTCCGCCGCAAATTTAGCCTTTGTCCGCGCCCAGACATCATCAGTTCTGTTTTATTAGCGAAATATAGGTAACTACCTTTGAGCTCCCTCTTTGTACATAGCCATGATGAGAACATGTGGCGTTGCCCAGTAATGGAACTGCGGTAGGGGGCAGACAGTAAAAAAACTCCTTAGGCATCTTTCATAAGTTTTGAATGCCATTTGTGGGATTTTAAGGAGAAAAAGCTGTCGCCTGTGGGGGGGGGGAGGCGAAGGGAATATTTTAATATATTTTAATATTTTAATATTTAATATAGTCTCGAAAGCACGCCGAACCACCGGATTTATCCTTAGAAATTTTAAG